ATGTTTAACTGCTGGTAACAGAAGCCTCAAAGAAGAGTAGCTTAAGCAAGATGGAAGTTGATTTTTCTTTCATGTAACTTGAAGTTTTCTGATAAATAATTCAGCAATATGACAATAGTATCATCAGGCACCCAGACTTCTTCCATTTTCCTGTTCCGTCATCCTTAATGTGGCTTCCATCCTCAAAGTGGTCTCATGGTCACAAGATGGATGCTAGAGCTGCAGCCATTATGTCCTCATTCCAGGAAAGAAGAAAGAGGAAGGGGATAAAGGCAAAAAGAAAGTACTTTTCAACTAAGTCTGCCACTTTGAGTTTTCCTGAAGTTTTACATGATATAAAAAGAGAATAGTATAATACAACAATCTATTTCTAAAACCCTAGTTTAAAGAAAATGATGGGATAAGAAAGTTAAAATCGTTTAAATATTTATCTTAAATAAAAAGATTCCAATTCACACTTTATTCTGACAATTAGAAGAATGTAAATTAAGAATTATTTTTGAAAAATAATAAGGTCAGGAACAGTGGAATTAGAGCCAACATTTATTTTCTAATACATTAGAGACAATAAATGCGAAGAAAATAGAATCCATCTACCAACAGACAGATAAAAAAGAAAGATAGTTAATACAAGATGATAAGAAAAAACAAAACAACTTAAAATAACAAAACAGTTATAACAATGTGTATACATGTATTAAATTCCCCTATTAAATTATAAAATTTGGGAAATATTACTCTGGTAGCAGTGTAGAATAAGTCTGGAGTTAGAGAGAACAGGCATTTAAAACATTGTTGCAGTAATCTAAGATAGAAGTAAAATATGGCATTAAAAGTGCTTCAGAATAATGTCATTAATGTACAGCAAAAAACATGGGTGCTTAACAAATAAATAAGTGGTTATATCCCATGGGTGCCTGGAAGAGGGACAGGGGAACTTCCATCTGTGGTCAGAATGGAGTAACTGGGATCAGACACCCTGCTCCCCAGACAACTAGAAATCTAGACAAAAGATATGAAAGAAGTGCTTTCAAACCTTGGACAATGGCAGCGCAGGGCTGTGCTTCTTTAAAGAGAGGGAACGAACAAGGTAAACTTGACAGTTATTCCATATTTCTGCCTGGAAGTGTTTTCTGGATCATGACTCCATGACAGAGAATACAAATCTTGCTGAGTTAAATAGACGGGGGGTTGGGGGGGAGGCATTGGAGAATGCTGAAGTAATTATAATTTTCAGGGAAGAATATTAGAGAAGAGGAAGCTATACATTAAAAACCCTCCAGAAATCTTTAAAGAATTCCTTATAAATCTGTTGCTGAATCCTCAGCTACCCAAAGCTGGGCAAAGAATGACCAAAGGGCTTTAAGCTGTACAATTCCCAGAACTCAACAGGTCTAGGATAAGTTAGAGTTCTGACCTTTCAGGATAGAGAGGCTCTATAAATATTTCACATATTCAGTAGAGACAAGAAAAGCTTGCCTTAGTAATATGGCCAAACTAGTCCTAGCACAAAGTCTATTATAGACTTAAAGCTTCAACCTTGAAAGAATCAAGCTGACTTGCAAAAAAATTATCTGCCTGCTAGAGTAAAGTTTAAGATTCCTTGAGGGAAGACACAAAAATTTAGAACTCAACAACATAGTACTCACAATTTTCAGTGGATAATAAAAAACTATTAGGTAACCTAAGAAGCATAATAATGTGACCCATACCTAGGAGAAAATTAATCATTTAAGACAAAATTGGAAATTACAGAGATAATGTAATTAGCAGACAAGAATTTTAAAGTAGCTGTGAATTTCTGAATATGCTTAAAGTTTTAAAGGAAAATATAAATACAATAAGGAGATAAATGAAAGATTTTTTTAAAATAAAAAAATGAAATAGAACTTCTAGAGATCAAAAATATAATATCTAAAATGAAATATTCACTGAATGGGATTAACAACAGATTAGACACTACAGAAGAAAATACTAGTGAACTTGAAGACATAGCAATAGAAACTATCCAAATTGAAGCATAAAAAGAAAAAAAAAGATTAAAAAAAATTGAACAGAGGCTTAATGACCTGTGGGACAAGATGAAATTAATATTCATGTAATGAGAGTCTCAGAAAAGGTGAGGGAAGGAATACATGAAGGAAAATATTTAAAGAAATAATTGTCAAATTTTTCCAAATTTGATAAACCCACTGATCCAAGAAACTTGGCAAGCCTTAAGTAAGATAAACACATAATCAAATTGCTGAAGAACAAGTAATAAAGAGAAAAATCTTTAAAGTGCCCAGAGTATAGAAACACATTACATGCAAGCAAACTCTTATAGGAATATACATAAACTTCTTTTCAGAAAATAACCAGAAGACAATGGAATGACATCGTTAAGTGATCAACCAACCAACCAAACCCATCAACCGAGAACTCTACATCTGATGAGAACAGTTTTCAGAAATAAAGGTGAAGTAAAAGTTGTTTTAGATAAACAAAAGCTGACAGAATTCGTTGCCAGCATAAATATTAGAGGAAGTTTTTTAGTCTAAAGGAAAATAAGATCAGATGAAAACATGAATATACACAAAAGAATGAAGAGTGTTAGAAAGATTAAGTACATGAGTAAATAAAATACTTTTTCTATCACTTTAAAGTTTCTTTGAAGTTTATTTGTCTGTTTAAGAGAAAAATAATACAATGTATTGTGGGACTTATTACGTTTATAGAAATATAAGGAAATGAAAATATGCTGTCATAAAGTTTCTATATTAAATATAAAAGGGTATAGTATTATTGAAAGCTAAACTATTGTATACTATAAACCTTAGCACAATCATTATAAAATTCAACAAATAAGTATAATTGATAAGTTGATGATACATTAGAATATTAAAAAATACTTAATCCAAAAGAGTAGGGGAAGAACATAAACAGAACAAAGAATAGATGGGGCAAATAGAAAAGAAACAGCAAGGCATAAATCCAATCATACCAATAATTCCATGAAAGAGTAAATATTAAATATTACAATTGAAAGGCAGGAATTTTTACTGGATATAAAAGCAAGACCCAACTATATGATGTCTATAAGAAACCTACTTTAAAGTATAAATCAAATACATTAAAACAGAAAGGTTGCAAACATTAATCAAAAGAAAGAAAGAATAGATATATTAATATCAGACAAAGAATATTTCAGAAGGAATGTTATTAGGAATATTCACAAAGATAAAAGTGTCAGTTCATCAAGAAGACGTAACAACCCTAAAGGCACCTAATAATAGAGCATCAAAATATAAAACAAAAACTGACAAAACTCAAAAGAAAACTAGATAAAACCACAAGTATAGTTGGAGATTTCAGCCTTCCTCTCTCACTAACTGGTAGAACACATAGTGAGAAGACAAATGAGCATGTAGAAGACCTGAAGAGCACTATCAGCCAAATTGACATTTTTTTGACATTTACAGAAAATGCTGCTGAGAACAGGAGAAATGCATGTGGAACAAGATAGATCCTCTATTGGGCTATAAAAAGAAGTCTCAATACATTTAAAAGGATTGAATCATACAGAGTATATTTTCTAAACAAAGCACAATTCAATCAGAAGCCAAGAACAAAAAAGGACCAGGAAACTCCCCAAACATTTGGAAATTAAACAACTCACTACTAAATAATACATGAGACAAAGAAGAAATTACAAGGAAAATTAGAAAATATTTTGAACTGAATGAAAATGAAAATATGGCATGTTAAAATGTGTGGGATGGAGCTAAAGCAGTGCCTACTTACAGTTTTAAATGTTTTCATTAGAAAGGAAGATAGATTGCATCTCAGTTAACTAATTTCAACCTAAGAAGCTAGAAGAAAAGCAAATTGAACCTGAGATAAGCAGAAGTAGGGAAACTAAAGACTGGACATCAATAAATAGAAAACAAACAGCAGAGAAAATGAAAGAAAACTAGAGCTGGTTATTTTAAAAAGTGGACAAAAAAAAAAAACGCTAAAGGTGATAAACTTCTAGCTAGACTAGCCAAAAATAAAAGAGCAAAGACACAAATTATCAATATTATGAAAGAAAAAGTATATCCCTGCAGATCCTACAATGTCAAGGAAGAAGAAGGATATTCAACAATGTTCTAACAATAAATTCAACAAGTTAAATGAAGTGGACATATTCCTTGAAAGACACTATTTTTTTATTTTTTCATAACATTTCCCCTTTTCTTTTTTTAGATTTTTTAAATTGATGGATAGTTGATGTATAATATTAGATAAGTTACAGGTGTACAATATAGTGATTCACAATTTTTAAAGGTTGTGCTCCATTTATAGTTATTATAAAGTATTGCCTCCGTTCCCTGGTTTGGACAATATATCCTTATAGCTTATTTTATACCCAGTAGTTTGTACCTCTTAATCCTCCATCCTTATATTGCCCCTTCCCTTTCCTTCTCCCCACTGGTAACCACTAATTTGTTCTCTATGTCTCTGAGTCTGTTTGTTTTTTGTTATATTCATTATTCATTTTGTTATATTCATTCATTCATATTCACTTGGTTGTATTTTTTAGATTCCACATATAAGTGATATCATACAGTATTTGTCTTTCTCTATCTGACTTATTTCACTTAGCATAATGCCCCCCAAGTACATCCATGTTGATGCAAATGGCAAAATTTTGTTCTTTTTTATGGCTGAGTAGTATTCCAGTGTGTGTGTGTGTGTGTGTGTGTGTGTGTGTGTGTGTGTGTGTGCGCGCGTGCACGCGTGCACCACATCTTCTTTATCTTTATCCATTCATCTATTGATGGACACTTTGGTTGCTTCTATATCTTGGCTATTTTAAATAATGCTGCTATGAACAGTGGGGTGCATGTATCTTTTGTTGAAAGGCACAACATAAAACTGACTGAAGAGTAAATAGAAATTCAGAATTGTCATATATATTTATATAAGGAATAGAATTCATAGTTTCAAAGTCTTCTCACAAAGAAAGATCCAGTCCTGGGTGGCCGCAGTGTTGGATTCTACCAAACACAATCCTACACAAACTGAAAAAATCAAGGCAGAGGTAGCACTTCCCAACTCTTTCTGTGAGGCCAGCATTATCCCGATACCCAAAACAGACACAGACATTGTAAGTAGACCATAGAACAACATTATTCCTGAGCCTAGAAAAAGGGCAGTAGCACCAGATAGACATGTCAGTCCTCGATAGAATTCTCATGAGATATTATGGAACTAGATGATGTGGCGCTTGTAAGTGGACGCCCGGTGGGGCAGAGAAGGCAGTCCACGGGCGGGAACTTGTTAATGAGCAAATGTGAACCCCTGCCACCTGAGTACTCCTAAATATAACAGAGAAGGACTGGGAGGAAGTCTGCAGATCTCACATGAGTGGGTGGGAGCAAGAGCTAATAAAATTGTAGTATCTTTTGTTACCATGTGCTAGTAAGTTCTGGAAAACTTGGGTTTTATTGACAGAGTGCACACTTTACAATGAAAGTAAAATTTCAAGGCCTCTTATGTACAAATCCATTTTGTATCTAAATATACAGAGCAAAAGCTATTAGAAATATAAGAACAAATAATCAGAAATACAACTGTGGTGAGAGATTTCAATATTCCTCCTTTTTGTCATCTTTATTCAGATCGGGGTGAACCTTTTTGATCTATATATTCACCTTTAATTTTGGCTCAGAAAGCTTTGCTTTTTATTCTTCTTTTCTTTTTTTGAAATTACGTCTTTGGCGAGAGGGTACAGCTCAGTGGGAGAGCGCCTGCTTAGCATCCAAAATAAATAAATAAAGCTAATCCCCCCATCCAAAATAATTTTAAAATTTAAAAATTAGAAAAAAATGTCTTTGATTATTGCTTCTGGTATAGATATTCCATGTGCATCTTTAGAAACACTTTTAATTTTTGATTGAATTTTCTTTTTTCTTTTTGTTTTCCATATTTCTTTTTTTTCCTTTGCTTAATCCTTGCTTTTTTCTTTCATTTAGGAGTTTTTAAAACTGCACTCGTAAGTTCCCCACATGAATGATTCTTTTAAAATACTATTATAATTATTATTTTATTGTTGCTATTATTATTATTAGCTCCATTCTACCAGCCTTTCTAATCTACCCTTCCCTTAAGCCAGAAACATGGGCACAACCTTTGATTTTATCCTTATCTCTTCTCTCTCCCATATTCAATGCATCATCAAGTCCTGTATCTTTAATCTTCAGAAGATGTCTTAGAACCACCTTACCTCACTTTCTTTGTTTGGCTCCTCATCATTTCTCTTCAAGGTTGTTACAAATGCTTTCTAACTGATCTCCTGGACTCCAGCATTTTAGGACGCTAGCCTGATTCCTTAGCTAATCTAAGGAACTCCTTATCATTCCGCCCCTGTCTTCCATTCCAGATGCATCTCTTACTCTTCCTTCCCTTTGATGCTGAAGTAATCAGCATTCCTGAGCCAGCCAGACTTCCTCACATTTTTGTGATTTTGCATGTGCTGCTGAGACATTACTGCCTACACCCCCTCAGCAAGGTCCAGTTCATCCCTCCAGCTTCAGCCCAAACATTGCATACCCTGGGAAGCCTTCTCCCACACCTGTCACCCCTTCCTAGTCTGTGTCAGGTGGGGACCCCTAGGCCCCACATTTGCCTCAATCACAGCACACATCACAGTACACTGTAATCCTCTCTTTATTCCTCCATCTCGCCTACCCGCAGAACGTGAGCTCCTTGGGAACAAGAGTTACCGTATTCATTTTTATTTTCCTAGCATCCGGCACAAGACGCAGTAGAAAGTGTTTCTGTTGAATAAAAAACACTAGAGTGATGACCTTAATAATTCCAAGTCCTAGGTGAACAGCATTCATACTTATTCTCTGCTTAACGCTGCTGTAATCTAGCTCCTAGACTGTGTCATACAAGCCACAGAAAAGTCAGCTATTAAAAAAGCTGGGCTTCCAGCTCCTGGCACAGGACTCAGCACACAGGAGGCAGTCAACAAACATTTCTCAAGCTGAACCTAACTGTAATATATAATTCTGTCCTAAATGGGACACATGTATTGAGAAAAGGTCTGGAAGTCAGTGATGAATACTCTTTAACAGCTTCCAAACTAGTTTTCACAGCGATTGTATAGATTTTGTTTTACATAGGGAAGTGAGATGACTATTGAATAGAATAAACCCAATGCTCATTGGAAATGTTGTGACAACAAAGACCTGTTGACTTAGTAAGAAGGCATCTGTTGTGGGGTATTTCTGAAGTTGGCCCAATTCAGTGTGATGTGCAACAATACTGCAATCTCCTGCCCATTCGTGGGGGCATCTAGCAGATGATAATCAGATTTAGAGTAAAATCATGTTTGCAGGACAAATAAATAACAGAGTACCAAGCTCCCTCTACCCTGTTTCCTTAATGCCTGGTTGCAGTGAGAGGTCCGAAAGGCAGGATGATGCCAGGATATTGCCCGTCAGTGGTGCCTGCAACTAAGAGGGTAGTTTGGGGCAATCCCAGAGGAGAGTCGGTAGCAGGTGCGATAGGATGGCATCCAGCTGGACCAGGGCATTAGCTTCTACTGGGCCTCACCCAAGGGCCATTTAAAAAAATAATGATAAAATCTAATCAATTATTGTCCAGGAGAGGAAGAGAGAAGTGGTAACCAATCAACCTTTTCCTAAGCCATCCTCGCTAAAATCTTGAATTACAGAAGAAATCATTTACTTTCCCTCATCTTTCAGTTCAGTGTCAGTTTGATGATGTTTTACTGAGCATCTCCTTGCTGCTGGCAACTGTTGTAGGGGTCAGGGATCTGAAGGAGGGTGAGACACAGTTTCTGCCATCAGGGCGTTCTCAGTGTGCCCGGATGGCTGGGGGATGAAGAGGAGAGAAGCTGGGCTGGTCCAGGGTCTGACACAAGTGGAACGGCTCAAGAGGCAGAGCGCCAGAGCCTGGGATGGATGGTGAACGCTCCTCTAGGGTGCACAGGAGCTGGACAAATCCCAAGGAGGCTGGACCCCCAGAGGAAGGGTGGTCTAAACCAGTGGATGGGAGTGGTACATATGGCAGCTCTGAGAACAAGAACTAGGCAACCAGAAACAGGGTAAGGAAGGCTGCTCTGTGGGCAGTTGTGAGGAGAAGCAAAGACCTAAAAATAACCCCAAACTGGTCAGATCTGAAAGTACTCGGAGCATCCAAGAAACCAGAAGGGTCACTCCTGCTGCCTTTGGTCCCCGGTAACCTCATGCAGGGTTTCCATCCCAGGTATTTAATGCCCCTTGCGTAGCTGGGAGACAGACACACACCACCCAGGGTTAAAGCATCATTAAGTGACCGAGGAGCTCCAGGTGCTGGGGGGCAGAGGAGGAGGGGTCAAGACAGGCTCCTGGAAGTGATGACATTTGACTGCAGCCTCCCGGAAGGGTCAGGGCAACCTTGGCCTTGGCACTCTCCCAGTGCCGGATGTCTGAGTCACTGGCAGTTCTGCTTCACTCCTTTCCTGAAATTCCGTCTCCACCAACTGTTCTGGGGCTGGAACATTGAGATTCTGCGAAGCAGTGGGTCTATTGGAATGCACAGGAGGCAGCAGCCTGCCTGCCGTCTCCTCTTCTTTCCTTGGGCTGTGTTCCCAGGGAAGGCACGAACCTTCTTTTCCGTGTCTCCTGGGTGGAACATTTGAATTCCCCTGGGAAACCCCACTAATTCAAAATCCAGTGATTCAGCACTGATAATCGTATAAATAGGGACTTGGATTAACTTGTTCCTTGAACTTGATGCGAAGGACGGATTTTTCTAACTACATAAATAGGGCAAGATTTCATGGGTCATGATAGATTTTAAAGCTATTTTTCAAAGGTGTTAGGAGAAATCACAGAAGAGATCTCGAGTCCTTCAGCTCAATCACGGGTAGGTTTGGTACCTAGCTTGCGTGATTAGGTACATTCTGTGATGGGGAACTCATCCCATCCCGAGAGTGGATTCCATCATGTGGCATGTTCATTAGAAGGGTCTTTCTTATACCAAAATATCTCTGTGTGGTCCCTAGTCATTGGTAATATTTCTGGCCTCTGGAGCTGTACAGAAAATGTTTGTGCCCCAAGGCTGCCCGTTAGAGGCCTAGAAATGAGCTCTCCAGGTCTTCTCTTGTCTGGCTATACACACAAGAATTGGCATTGAGGCCTCAAGCCTCAGGGAGAGATTGCAGACTTTCTGGGTGAGAAAACCTCCTGGGGCAGAAGTGGACAGCAGCTGCAAAGCCCTGACCTGGAAACCTCAGGCCAGGGGAAGACTGGGGGCTGGGAGGGGATCCCAGGCCAGCTGTGCCTTGAAACCAGGCTCCTGGGAGAGGTTGAACAGCTGAAGTAGCAGGGCCTGGGGCTCTGGACCAGAGAGCTCTCACAGAATGTTGACTGCAGGGAACGGGCACCAGGCAGCTGGGTTAACTGAGCATCCCTTTTCTCTGCCTTGTTTATCCCCTGGATCCTCACTCTTCCCTTTCTTCATGCTTTGCTTTTCTCTCCAACCACAATTTCCAGCTGATGTCCCCATCCCCGACTCTCTTGCGTCTGTCTTTCAGCCTTCCATTCTCTGTGTTTCTCGTTCCTTCCATTTTGCACCCTTTCTCTCTGTTTTTGTAGTTTTCTCTTTTCCTGCCCTTTCTGCCTCCATCACTGTTTCTGTGAGCCTCTCTCCCTGCCTAAGATACATGCAAAGAGAATGTATTATACACGCAAACCACGCTCGACTAACGCTATTTGTGAGCCGGGCTTCATTTGTTATCTTGAGTGCTTTCTGTGGGGCAGTGACCCTCCTTCAAAATAAAATTCTCTTCCCTGTTTCTGAGTGATGGTCTCTGCACCCATTTTGGGATAGGTGAGAACAGGTAATCTCTGCAGCAGGCAAACAGGATACACAGATGCAAATCCAGATTCGCAAATCCAAAATGACTCGCTTCAGGAATTATTTAAATAGCTGGTGCTTCGACAGTGGGATTCAATTTACAGACATTAACTTCCCATGCAACCTCTCTTTAACTTCCCTCTTACGTATAGTGAGTTCAGGTCTGAGCCTTCAACTAAACTTTTTAAAAATCAGCAAGATGTTTGGCAGCCTGAGATCTTATCCCTTTGGGCAACTGGAAGAAGCAAAGTCTCTTTCCCGAAGGCAGCTTGACATAGTAGAAAAAGCACGGATTTTAAATCCTGGCTCTGCGATCCTCTACATCTAGGGAGGTTTAGCTTCTCTGAGCCTCTGTTTTCTCATCTGGAAAGTGGAGACAGTAGAACACCCTGGCAGGTCTGTCGCAAGGCAAAAATGAGTTGATGTTTTTAACTCATGACATTTGAAGCTGGTAAGATTACTTAAGAGTTGTGAAGCAAGTGTCTCTGGGGTCTTTCTTGGTGTTTTCTGATCACAGTTAGCAAAACATAAATATTTGGAGACTGTAGTTAAGAAGGCCAGGGTTCTTTGCAGTAAATCCTACCGGAAGAACCACCGTCAACTCCTGAGCATTAAAGGGAAACTTGTTTGGAACTGACATGTGAAGACACCACTACAGCACTCGGTTATTGTCAGTTTGGGTTAACAGGTATATTTGAAATGATTTATTTGGAAGATCATATTCCTTAGAGGCAGTAGTTAAGCATGAACTTAAAAATCTGGAAATCCTAGTCTCTGCACCAAAAAGAAGTAGTGTCTAGTGATACAGCAGGAGATGCAAATTTTAACAATAAATAGGAAAGACAAAATCTTGAATTAATTCATGTTAATAAAGAGGAAAACAGAAAAGGCGAAGATGTGGTTAACCGGAGAGAAACATGTGGGATTGGAGGGAATCCCCTGTGGAGAATAGGGATTTGGTCTGGCTGCCGTGGGGTCTGCAAGGTACTCTATCAGTTCCTTTGTGAACTAAGAGAGGGAGAGGCCAGAAACTGGGCAGCAAGAGACAGCCAGGGGGCTTCAGAGGACTCCCCCAGAGGCAGTGTCCAGCCAGCACTGGAGGAGACCGTAAGAGCTTTGGATATCAAGTTGACGCTGAATCTAGAGTCCCTGGAGTGAGTGAAGTACTCAGGATCAGTGAGAAGTACCTTACTCAGTTCTGGGACTAAATCCAGGCCAGACTTGTTTCAATAGTCATAGATACTAGTTAATGATTAGAACAGAATAAAAAGAACAGAATGAAAGCGAACTACTGATTTCTTTCAGTCCTACACTAAATGTACTTAAAAAAAATTCTTTTAAAACATGTGTCAAGTGCTTTCTTCACTCCCTTGGTTTACATTCTCTTCTTGGCCCTGCCGCTTGTATCTGAGCCCCACCTCACCTCTCCTCCCAGACTGCCTGTTGAGGTCACTGGTGACCAGCTGCCATGTTGCTAAATCCAGTGCCCACATCTCCGGTCTTGTCTTATTTGATCTGTCAGCAACATTTACCACAGTTGGCTACCACCTCTTTTCCTCCCCCATATTTCTAACATTTATTTTGGAATTTTTCAAAGCTATAGAAATTTGCAAGAGTATTCTAACAAACACTCACCTGTTGTTCAGTATTTAATCACATTTGTGATAGCTCTTTCTCTCTATAAAATTCAACTTTTAATTTTTGTTGTTATTTTTGCTGAATCACTTAAGGATAAGTTGCAGACATCACAGCCCTTGACTCCTAAATACTTATGCATGTACCTCCTACAAACAAGGAATATATATATATATATATATATATATATATATATATATATATATATATATATATATTATATATATATATATATATATATATATATATATATATATATATATATATATATATTTGATGCCATATATCTAAAAGATGGTCCATATTCTGTTTTCTCCTGTTGTCTCAATAGTTGGTCTTTACAAAAACAACAGTCTAATTTCCAATCCAGCATCCAAAACATGAGTATGCATTGCATTCAGTTGACATGTTAATTTGGTTTCCTTTAATCTGGAACTGTCCTTCAGCCTTTCTTTGTCTCATAACATTGACATTTCTGAAGAGCTTAGAGCAACTATTCTGTAGGATGTCTGATGCCTCCTCTTGGTTAGATTCAGATGATCCGTTCTTGACAGAAGTACAGTATGAACATGTTGTATTCTTCTCTGTGCCCTCACATCACAAGCCCCTGATGTTCCTTTGTCCCATCATTGGTGATACTCACTATGACCACTCAGTTAAGGTCGAATCCACCAGGTTCCCCCACTGTAAAGGGATTTTCCCTCTTTTGTATTTAGTAGGTGGGAAGGTACTCTGATCTGGTTCCCTAATGAAAGATTTTTAGAACCATTAATGATTTTTACCTTAATCAATAGTTGCAAAATGTTGAATTTCTTACTCTACCATTCCCTCTATACTTTTTAGTTGACATTCTACTGTAAGGAAGACTTTCCCTTTCTCCCCCACTTATTTATTATTTGTTTGGTTGCTTGTTTTGTATCAATATAAATTTATTGCCCAGATGTTGGTATCTAAATACCATTCTCCAATATAAAGAATTTGGGCTATTTGGAGAAATGGCAAATTTTAGGGCTGGGGCAGGAGAATACAAGGTGAGCCTAGGATACTCTTATAGTACCAGAGAATGGAGAAGATCTAAAACAGAGAAAGAGTAGGGGGGAGAGAGAAACACACCGGGTTTGGTTGGGGGGGGGGAGATGGAGAGAAAGAAGTTAAGAAAAATGATGGGAACATGCCAAAAGGACACAGAAGCCAATCTGAATGAGCTCCCAATGGCCAAAAGCTGGGACAATTTAAGCAACAGAACACTTTGCAGTGATATTTGATTATAACATTTCCAAATAAAATAAATTTCTGTTAGTCTATATGGATATAAATAAATATTAAATGAATAAATAAATAGGGAAGAAGAGACAAATTCCTCATGTAGAACTCTAAATAATTTATACATATCCTTCTTCCTCAAGGAGGTGAATTATAACCCCCAACGCCTTAACTATGGACTGTGCATATGACCCTCCGAAGAATACACTAAGGAAAGAGGGAGGGCAGGGTAGCTCTAAATGGAGAAACTGAGAATATAATCTCAGGCAGGTGATCAAGGTCAACACCAGCAGTGATAACTCATGTGGGCAGTATGTACCCTTAATATGAGGTGATAAAAATGGCACCTTGCCTCTGTGGTCTTCACCCCCAAAACTCATAACCACACTCTAATTATGAGAAAAATCAGAAAAGTCCCAAGGAGGGACACTTTACAAAATACCTAGCCAGTGCTTCTCCAAACGGTCAAGATCATCCAAAACAAGGAAGGTCTGAGAATCTTTCGTAGCCAAGGGGGGCCTAAGGAGACATGAGAACTAAATGTAATGTGGTATGCTGTACGGGATCCTGGAATGGGAAAAGGATATACGGTTAATGCCAAGGACATCTGCATAAAGTATGGACTTCGGTTAATAAGAGGTCAATATTGGTTCATTGATTGCAACAAATGTACCATGCTAATTTAAGACGTTAATAATAGGTGGAACTGGGTACAGAGTATGTGGGAACTCTCTGTACTATCTTTGTAATTTTTCTGTAAATCTAAAACTGTTCTAAAATTTTAAAAAGGGTTGTTATTTTTTTAAATAAAAAGCTCACTTAGTATTTAAAAATGTATAAATTGTATTGGATAAAAATGATACCTTAAATTTTAAAAATTAAAAAATAATTGAGGAACTTGAAACATTTCCCCAGTATAGCCAGTAAGTGGTAAAGTTAAAATGAGAATTCAAGTTATCTTATTCTAGATCTCATTCTTCCTTCTAGGAACTAAATTATGTGCCCCCTAAAATTTGTATGTTGAAGCCATAACCCCCAATGTGACTGTATTTGGAAAAAGTGCCTTTAGGAAGTAATTAAGATTAAAAGGCTATCAGGGTGGGGCCCTAATCCAATAGAATTGGTGGCCATGAAAGAAAAGGAAAAGACCTATTGCCCCACCTTCCCCCAGCCTGATACATACACCGAAGAAAGGCCATGTGAGACAAAGCACCCATTTGCAACACAGGAAAGGAGAGCCCTCATTGGAAACTGAGAGATAACATACTGCATAGAGAGTAGGTTGTTTCAAAAGGTGAGAAAAAGGTCATGAGGTGTTGGGGTTGGGTGCTCAGTTTAAAGCAGAAGTAGGTACACACTCCACAGACAGAATGCAGGCCATCTCTGAAGATGAGGGAGCAAAAGAGGTGGCCACAAGGCACAGTGTTGCTAGTTTTTATGGGCTCAGTAGCTTCATATGCTAACAAGTGGGAGGGCCATTCCAACCACCCTGGTAAAAGGGCTGGGATTCCCAGGAATTGGACCACTGCCCACTTTGACCCTTAGTTTGCCTTCACTTTTTAAAGATATTTGTGCTGGGTGAAAAGTTCTAGGTTGACAGATTTTTTTTTCTTTCTTTAAAGATTTTGACTTTAGGACTACTGTCTTCTAGCTTGCATTGTTTTTGACAAGAAATCTGCTGTCATCCTTATCTTTATTGCCCTGTATTTAATGTAGCCTATTTCTCTATCTGCTTTTCAAATTTTTTCTTAGTCACTAGTTTAAAGCCATTTGATTAGGTTTTAGTGTTAGCGTAGCTTTCTTCATATTTCCTGCTTTTGGTACTCATTGATCTCAAATTTGTGGTCTTACAATTTTCATCAGATTTGAAACATTTGGTCACTATTTCTTCAGATGCTTTTCTGTCCTCCCCCTCCTTTAAGGACCCCAGTTATACATATATTTGGCCACTGAAATTGTCATTGTTGCTCTGTTATATTTTTTTAATTCTTTCTCTGTGTGCTTCATTTTTTTTGTAGTTTTTATTGCTATGCCTTCAAGTTTACTACTCTTTACCTCTGAAATGTCTGATTTTCTGTCAATCCCATTCATTCTGTTTTTCAACTCAGGCATGGTTGTTTTCTTCTCTAGAAGTTTGTTTTCAGTCTTCCTAATGTCTTTCATGTCTCTCCTTAATGTTCATATGAAATACGTTCAAGTCATGTAACTGTTTTCATGTTCTTATTTATTATTTCTAACATTCATATCATTTCTGGGTCAGTTTTGATTAATTTTTCTCCTCATTATGAATTTTATTTTCCTGGTTCTTTTTATGCCTGATAATTTTTTACCAGATGCCAAACAGTGTGATTTTTATATTGCTGGGTGCTGAATATTTTTGTGTTCCTAAATGTACTCTTCAGCTTTGTTTTAGGATGTGGTTAAGTTACTTTGAAACAGCTTCATCGTTTTGGTCCTTGCTTTTAATATCAGTTAGGTAGGACTAGAGAAGCATTTAGCTTAAGGGTTAATTTTTCCCACCTCTAAGGTAAAGCCCTACTTATTATTTTAACTGACATCCCATGACTTATGAAGTTTTTCACTCTGGCTATTAGGAACAGGCACTGTTCTCTCTAAGCTTTTTGGGTAGTTCTTTTCTAGGTCTCAGTTCCTCACTTACATGTATTGTTGATAGTAAGTTAAGTACTCAAGGGAAATTTCTGCAGACTTCTGAAGTTCCTTCTGTGTGCAGCTCTCCTCAATACACTGCATTGAGAATTCTAGATGCCTTGGTTTTTCTGGACCTCCAATTTAGACTTGTCAACTCAGGAATATGGTGAGGCTCTGCTGGGTTTCTGTCTTCCTGCATCATTGCCCGGAAACATTCTCCAGGCAGTAAACTGGATCAATAATAGGGCTATATTTGTTTCTTGTCACTTAGGGATCTCTGTCCTTTATTGCCTGATGTCCAATGTCTGAAGAGTCATTGTTTCATATACTTTGTTCAGTTTTTAAATTTGTTTCAGGTGAGAAGTTAAATCCAGCCTCTGTCACTCCATCTTGACCAGAGTGGGAGTCCCATCAATTCATTTTTTAAATGTTTAAGAAAAGAAAGGAAATGTTTCTTTTATATTTTTCCATGTAGTTATCATTTCCAGTGCCCTTTATTCCTTCCTCTCGATCTGAATTTCCATATGGTCTCATCTCTTTTCAGGTTGAAGAAATTTCTTTAGGATTTCTTATAGTTAGGTGTCCTGATGATGTATTATCTTGCCTTTCATTTATCTGAAATTATTTTATCTTCATTTTTGTAAGGTATTTTCACTTGGCATAGAATTTTAGGCTGACAGGTGTTTTTAACTCTTTTTTCCTTTCAGCATTTTAATGATGTCTTCTGGCCTTTGTTTCTGATGAGAAATCAGCTATCTTTGGCTGCTTTTAAGTTTTTCTGTTTATTTGTATTCGGGGGGAAATTTAACTTTGATGTGCCTATATGTGATTTTCTTCATATTTATCTTGCTAGAAGTGTGCTGAACTTTCTGGCTCAGTGTCTTTCTTCCTTCCTTCCTTCCTTCCTTCCTTCCTTCCTTCCTTCCTTCCTTCCTTCCTTCCTTCCTTCTTTCTTTCTTTCTTTCTTTCTTTCTTTCTTTCA